AATTGATTGTCCGGACTAATCACCTGTTAGACCTAATTAATCTTAGAATGTTTTAAAGTGTTGCAATTGTGATGTATTTTAGTGTGTCATATGATGAAGCTGTTGACGAACTGTGATTGTTTTTTAGATTAATGAATTTATTTTTTTTATTATCTGTTATTTTAGAAAAACTAATGATGGTGGAAAACACCGAAACGTATTTTGATTGATAATTAGAGACAATAAATGACTGAAGCCCAGGAATTGATTTTGATTTGGAATTGAAACACAGTCAGGAAAGTATGTACACTTAATTTTGCAAAAAAGATAATAGTTATTTATGTATCTAGTAGGATATGAATAAATTAGTATCGCACGCATGTGAAGATTTTCCCGACGAGGCCGTAGGCCGGGTTGTGTGATTACATGAGTGCTTTAGTAATATAATATCCGACGTGTTACGTACAATATTTTATCTAAAACTGTAGACGATTATTATTTTAATGATCATTTAAGTAAAAATAATTAGTTATGAAATGTTACCTAGGATCACTACTGAAAGTATTAGAGTATAAAACACCCCACCTATAACACACACATTGTAAATTAAACGCACGGTAAACCCAACGCACAGTTCTGTCATAATTCATCACAATATAAACATTGTATCTTGTATTAAAAAATATTCGCCATACTGGAAAGTGAATCTGATGGTTCAAGAGCAAAATCTCCCATATTTTGTCCGCACACAATATTAAAAGTTTTGGGGAAATTTTACCTTATTGAATATATGTTTATGAACGTATGACGTTTTAATTTATAATTCTGGACTGCTGACATTTTTTTAATCGCTGTAAAATCTGACGTGTTTAAAAATATACAAGTTTTTATTTCAGTTTTAGTAAGTTATTGCAGTCGTAAGCAAAGTATGGTACCACAATTCGAGTTGTAACGCATTTACGTACTCATAAAATTACGCACTCGCCGCTTCGCAGCATCGTGCCCAATTTTTCCATTCGACCGTAAAGTGCTCCTTACATCTCTAGTTATGTAATATGCTATAGAACAGAACCCAGGTAAAGAGAATTTGTCATTGTCAAAGTTGTGTCTTAAAATTACACATTTTATAATGAATACAAGCGATGATCTGCCATAAGATATTGAGAGGGAAGTTTTAAAGTTTTTTCAGATCTTGTGCCAGGAAGGAAAGCCACGGAAGAAATACCAACAAGCTTTTGATCGGAACCAGAGATCGTGCAGTGAACGAAATATACTCGACTGAACAAGCGAAAATAATTATTAGTATATTTTAACAAAGTAAG